TTTTCCCGGTCCTCACCGTCTCTCTCGCCTCTCCCCGTCTCTCACCGTTTCTCCCTGTCCTCGCCGCAGTGCCGGTCAAAGCTTCCAAAGTGAGCACTTGCGTGTATGTGTGTGTGTGTGTTTGTTCCCAGGTGCTGTCTTACTGCTGTGTCTATAGCTATTACAGCCAGGAGGCTGAGAAGATGACCTCGCTCGGGCAGCAGATGCACAACCTGGAGTTAAACACTAACAGCCTGCAGGTTCTACTCGGTATGTGCATGCGCACAGACACACGCGTGCACGTGCAGAACCAGAAATAGGACTCCTCCCACTCGCTGGAACCCTCATGAATGATGCTGTAACTTGCCCTTGAGCTATGACACATTGTGTAGTGCACTCCACAATGAACTAGGTGACCTGGGTTCGATTTCCAGCCACAGCTAACATCCGTGGCGAGATATAACCCAATTCTGGTCCCCTGCCAGCATCACCCACCCACACTAACTAGCGTGATGAAGTATAGTCGTCACACCCCCATGACCGGCATGGCATGAGGGGGGGGGGTGGGGGAAGTGGGGCCCTTCATCCAGCACGGTATTGGCAAAAGGTTGGTAAACCCACCCATGGGCGCTTGAAGCCGAGTGCCGCCCCGGTAGGGGTACGCGCGTCACACGAGCGCGCGCACCCCCGTTGCGGTGACCTAGTGGACGACGGCCATTGCAAGCGCACGCCACTGATCCGTGCGGACGCGACGCTGGCTGTGCACAGAGAAGTCGCTGCTGCATTGTACGGAGTTGGCGTGGTGCGTGCGACTGCTCAAGCCGGTGCACCTGGCGTTAGGCCGCACCATCATCGGACGCATCCAGGAGCGGCTGCTCGCGATTCTGCACGCGTCCACACAGGTGCCGCCACCCGCTCGCAGGGGCACGCGCCCCACGGCACGCACGCACCTCCTCGCCGTTCCCTTCCTGACCGCTGTGGCCGCTTCACGCGTGTTTGTTCGGCTTGCGTGGATGTCTCTCCTTTGTGCGTGACGCCACAGGATTTTCGAGTCGGGCTGCAGGCCGAGGGCTCGGCGACAATGGACCGCGATGGGGAGTCGGCCCCAAACGCGGAGAACAGAAACATCAACATCACCATAGAGTACGTTTCCTGCGACACAGACGCGCAGTGATGGCTTCACTTGCGACTTAAAACTTGGAGTGTGCGCACGAACTTCACTCGTTGATTCCTCCACCCATTGTTGAGGACTTGTTCTACCAGCCTGACGTGCATCTCATTCTGTGTTCAAACATCATACTGCAGATGACACACTCATCTGTTCATACACCCACTCACTAATGCAGGTAGCAACATTTATTTTGCTGCACTCACACTGTTCCACTTTGGAATTCCCGCCCATTATCTACTTTCTTCTGCTCTTATAATAACTTAATTAAAGAAAAGTGTCAACTGTTATTTTTTAGAACGTTGGTAGTGCTGTTTGTTTCTGTCCATGTGACGTTTTATGCCTTTGGGCCTGTGCTCAGCAACTTGAGTGTGGAGTGGGGAGGGCTGTGAGTGAATTGGACGCACGCCAGTCTCACGCACACAGGCGGCGGACTGCCCCCTCGTGCTTGCATTGTTGATGTGGAGATTTCGTGATAGCAGGGGCACGGAGGCGGAGACTGAAGAGGGTGGAGGAGACGACGGGACGGGCGAAGAGGGGGAGAACGACGAGACTTGGCGCGAGCAGTTTGAGTTTGAGTACGAGGACACGGAGGACGACTTCACGGACGAGGACGACGAGGATGAGGACGACACGGACTATGTGGATGGAGACGTGATGTTCTCGGGCGAGGAGGATGACTTCTTTTCCTAAAGATGACCACGCGTGCCACCACAATCACTCCGCGCCACTGCAACCAGCCGCATTCACCGCCACCGTGCGCCATCGTGCACCACTCGCTCGCGGCACTGCACCATCCGCACACAGCACGACCCAAGCCATTCCATGGCCACCCAGGGGCGGCCCTGCGTGCGCTTCTTCTTACACTTCCCGTGCTCGTGTCCGTTTCCCCGGCTCTGCCGACCGCTCCTCGTGGGGGATGAATCCCCGTCGTGCCCCGTCGTGCCCCGAGCCATCGCTAGGATGGCCCCGCGCTGCGCTCAGCAGCAGGCCCGTGTGAGCCCTGCTGTTGAAGGGGCACTCGCTGCAGCTTTGAGTTTTTGTGTTGGCTCTGTTGAGCCATGCACTTGTTGTTGTGAACGTGCGGAGATATGCAGCTGCACCTGGCCCCTAGGGCCACGGACACACGAATCAAAGAACGTGCACAGTTTAACCGATACAAAAATTTAAGTTTGGAAATATTGCTAAATATTTTACACCATTAAAGTGTAATATTTTAAAAAATAAAGTATATGATGAGTTGGTCTCTGTGTCCGTCGTTTCACTCCTGGACCATGCTACTGTGTTTCTTAGGCTCAAGTTTGTCATGATCCCAATAATATTTGTTATTTACGCTATTTTTCTATAGCGCAAGGCTGTTGCAAATCTTTAATGTCATCCATGAAACGGACGGCTCATAATTATTTACGGTTAACGCACGCATCTGGAACCAGCGTATATGGTGATGGTTCTTAAGCTTCATCCCCATGCCCAGGATGGTTCATGCCCAGGATGGTTCTTAAGCTTCATCCCCATGCCCAGGATCGTCCATCACAGTGGAGGGAGATGGTCAGGCCTGCGATGTCATTTTACGGGTCCGCAGACACGAGACTTCCCGTCGCACAACGGGACCGCAAATATATGGGTCACTGCAGGCATTTACGGTATTTATCGGGTACTCAAGGGGGCATGTTTTACTACCTGGCTACACAGTGTTGCTAATGATAGCGCAACGCTCGGTTACCGTGCAAGGGTCTCGTGGTGTCACGTGATGGCTGTGTGCGAATGTGTGAATTCTGCCACCATAGTGTTTGAAACTTGTTTGGGCTTTGGTGTAAGCAGATGTGGTTTTTGTACCACTGCCTCTACTAAACGTAATGGCAGTGTTTTCATTGCAGAAGGATATATTTTTAATCGATCACCACGCTCTATGAATGCGTGTCGTCCTCTGTTTTGTTCAGTAAAGCTCAAGTGCCAGGAATGCAGAAATAAATCACTTGAGAAATTGCGACGAGTCCTTCGTACCTCAAATGCCAGACCCACGTCAATCTAACCTCCTCTCAACGCTTCACCACAATTGTCTTTCCCCCAGCACCTCCGATTAGCATGCTTGGCGACGTACGGTGCGAAAGATTCTGCGTAATAAAATGACCTCGCCACAATCATCCCTAAACTCGGTCTGACCTCACAACTATCACCCCTGTCCTCTTTTCACCACAAGCCTAACCTCCTGTAAAGGCATGCCCTAACTCCAGCCCATCGTCAACGCCTTCCACAACGCATATATTTATTACTATGTTTACCGACTCGAGACCTTTAATACCACAGTCATTTCAACTTGTAAGGCGCCGCTGAGCAGTATTCACTCTTGCCGAGAGAGGGCGCGAGGAGGAACCACGTGTTTTTGTGTTTTTTTATGTTTGTTGTGGTTGCACCCGATTCAAGAGCCGGATGGCTCACAGGGCTATACCAAATAATAAACTGGACTGAAACTGAACCACAGACGAGAGGCTGAGCCGGTGAAGGCGTTATCGGCCAATTCATGAGCGTTTACATCTGGGAGGGAACGAGCATACGGGGGGAGAAGCCCTTCCAGGCAGGTGGGGCCCGTGGAGCCCACAGCTTGGCTCTGCAGTAGCGCCTCCTTGCGAGCCAGGGCACGGGCTCACTGCCGACACCCACGGGAAGGGAGTTGCGCAACGTTCGCGTGCGATGATTCACCAACCCTGGCTGGGTGGGAGGGGTTGATTAGGCGGGGCGAGGGGTGGAAGGTTGGAGGGGTGGAGGGGTTTGAGGGGTTGGGAGAGTTTCATAGTTTTCATTTATTTTGGTATAGCCCTGTGAGCCATTCGGCTCTTGAATCGGGTGCAACCGCAACAAACAAAAAAACATGAACAAGAAAACATCTTAAAGTGACTTTGTGCATGTGCAAACAGAAAATCCAGGGGAAAAAAATCAAAATATTGAAGGGAGTGGAGGGGAGGTGAAGGGAGGAGTTTGATAATGAGTAAAATTTAGCAGGACTCTCTGGCTATGCACAAACCCCTCCCCTCAACTCCCCCTTACCTCATCATTGGAAACCTCATTTGCCAGTAACAAAATATGATAATTGTTTTTTTTTACCCTTTTATCTGGCAACAAAACTGATACCTTTTTTTACAAGGAGTCATGTTTACATTGACGACCCCCCTCAAACCCCCCCAACCAACCCCTCCCCTCAACTCCCGCTAACCTATTCTCAGCTCTTTCAGACAGCAAACATTAATTTTTCGTCTCCCCCCTCCTCTTTTCAGAACATAGATGGACTCGTCCTTCTAAATAAACTGACAAATCGCTGCCCGTGATGCTAACGGTTTTTTGGTTTTTTAAAGAAATAAATAAAACACCGTTTAGAAATAAATAAATAGGTACCGCCACTTCTTTCAAATGTTTCTTGCCGTTGCTTTTCACACCTGATGATGACCGTTTGTGTTATGGTCGAAACGTCGTGAGGATTTTTATTGTTTTATATATATTTTATTATTTTATTGTTTCCCTTCAACGTGACTTTACCGAAAGAGCTAAGAATATGAATTACTGCAGTAACGAAAGCTTTAAATCAAAATTCCCCCTTACCTCTCCACGCAACGCCTCTCACCACCCCCCTCAAACCCCCCCAACCAACCCCTCCCCTCACCAAACCCCTCCCTCACCAAACCCCCAACCAAACCCCTCCCCTCACCACCCCCCTCAAACCCCCCCAACCAACCCCTCCCCTCACCAAAACCCCTCCCCTCACCAAACCCCTCCCCTCACCCAACCCCTCCCCTCACCAAACCCCTCCCCTCACCCAACCCCTCCCCTCACCAAACCCCTCCCCTCACCAAACCCCTCCCCTCACCAAACCCCTCCCCTCACCTAAGCCGCGCCCCTTCTTCCCGTCGTGCCCTTTTCCGGTGGGTAGGCCACGTGACGCCGTTTTGAACTGTTCAGTTCAGTTTATTAACTGGGAGACGACTAACGGGCCAGCGGAGCCGGGCGAGCGAGGGGAGTGAGAAGAAGAGGGAGAAGAGGAAGAAGAGGAGGAGAGAGGAGGAGGAAGGAGAGGAGGAGGAGGAAGGAGAGGAGAGTGGCGGTGGCGGCGGCGGCGGCGGCGATGTCGGCGCGGCGCTGCGAGGTGACGGTGCGCGGCGCCGTGAGCCAGCGGAGCCTTGGCGCCCTGGTCTGGGAGATCTTCGCTCACGCCCTGTACCAGCGCGGCCAGCTGCCGCTTCCCTACCCGCAGCTGCTGCACTTCCACAGCCACCTGGTGAGGGGAGTGGTGAGGTGGGGGTGGACTGTTCAGGGGTGGAGTGCTCAGGGGTGGAGTGTGCAGGGGTGGAGTGTTCAGGGGTGGAGTGTGCAGGGGTGGAGTCTGCAGGGGTGGAGTGTTCAGGGGTGGAGTGTTCAGGGGTGGAGTGTGCAGGGTGGAGTGTTCAGGGTGGAGTCTGCAGGGGTGGAGTGTTCAGGGGTGGAGTGTGCAGGGTGGAGTGTTCAGGGGTGGAGTGTTCAGGGGTGGAGTGTTCAGGGGTGGAGTGTGCAGGGGTGGAGTGTGCAGGGGTGGAGTGTTCAAGGGTGGAGTGTGCAGGGTGCAGTGTTCAGGGGTGGAGTGTTCAGGGTGGAGTGTGCAGGGGTGGAGTGTGCAGGGTGCAGTGTTCAGGGGTGGAGTCTGCAGGGGTGGAGTGTTCAGGGGTGGAGTGTGCAGGGTGGAGTGCTCAGGGGTGGAGTGTGCAGGGGTGGAGTGTGCAGGGTGGAGTGTTCAGGGGTGGAGTGTGCAGGGTGGAGTGTTCAGGGGTGGAGTGTGCAGGGGTGGAGTGTGCAGGGGTGGAGTGTTCAGGGGTGGAGTGTTCAGGGGTGGAGTGTTCAGGGGTGGAGTGTGCAGGGGTGGAGTGTGCAGGGGTGGAGTGTGCAGGGTGGAGTGTTCAGGGGTGGAGTGTTCAGGGGTGGAGTGTGCGGCGTGGAGTGTTCAGGGGTAGAGTCTGCAGGGGTGGAGTGTTCAGGGGTGGAGTGTGCAGGGGTGGCGTGTTCAGGGGTGGAGTGTTCAGGGGTGGAGTGTGCAGGGTGGAGTGTTCAGGGGTGGAGTGTGCAGAGTGGAGTGTGCAGGGTGGAGTGTGCAGGGGTGGACTGTTCAGGGGTGGAGTGTTCAGGGGTGGAGTGTTCAGGGGTGGAGTGTGCAGGGGTGGAGTGTGCAGGGTGCAGTGTTCAGGGGTGGAGTCTGCAGGGGTGGAGTGTTCAGGGGTGGAGTGTTCAGGGGTGGAGTGTGCAGGGGTGGAGTGTGCAGGGTGGAGTGTTCAGGGGTGGAGTCTGCAGGGGTGGAGTGTTCAGGGGTGGAGTGTGCAGGGTGGAGTGTTCAGGGGTGGAGTGTGCAGGGTGGAGTGTTCAGGGGTGGAGTGTGCAGGGGTGGAGTGTGCAGGGGTGGAGTGTTCAGGGTGGAGTGTTCAGGGGTGGAGTGTGCAGGGGTGGAGTGTGCAGGGGTGGAGTGTGCAGGGTGGAGTGTTCAGGGGTTGAGTGTTCAGGGGTGGAGTGTTCAGGGGTGGAGTGTGCGGGGTGGAGTGTTCAGGGGTAGAGTCTGCAGGGGTGGAGTGTTCAGGGGTGGAGTGTGCAGGGGTGGCGTGTTCTGGGGTGGAGTGTTCAGGGGTGGAGTGTGCAGGGTGGAGTGTTCAGGGGTGGAGTGTGCAGGGTGGAGTGTGCAGGGTGGAGTGTGCAGGGGTGGAGTGTTCAGGGGTGGAGTCTGCAGGGGTGGAGTGTGCAGGGGTGGAGTGTTCAGGGGTGGAGTGTTCAGGGGTGGAGTGTGCAGAGTGGAGTGTGCAGGGTGGAGTGTTCAGGGTGGAGAGTGCAGGGGTGGAGTGTTCAGGGTTGGCGTGTGCAGGGTGGAGTGTTCAGGGGTGGAGTCTGCAGGGGTGGAGTGTTCAGGGTTGGCGTGTTCAGGGGTGGAGTCCTGCAGGGTGGAGTGTGCAGGGGTGGAGTGTGCAGGGGTGGGAGTGTTCAGGGGTGGAGTGTTCAGGGGTGGAGTCTGCAGGGGTGGAGTCTGCAGAGGTGGAGTGTGCAGGGTGGAGTGTTCAGGGGTGGAGTGTGCAGGGGTGGAGTGGTTCAGGGGTGGAGTGTTCAAGGGGTGGAGTGTGCAGGTGGAGTGTTCAGGGGTGGAGTGTTCAGGGGTGGAGTGTTCAGGGTGGAGTGTTCAGGGTGGAGTCTGCAGGGGTGGAGTCTGCAGGGGTGGAGTGTTCAGGGGTGGAGTATGCAGGGTGGAGTGTTCAGGGGTGGAGTGTTCAGGGGTGGAGTGTTCAGGGGTGGAGTGTGCAGGGTGGAGTGTTCAGGGGTGGAGTCTGCAGGGGTGGCGTGTTCAGGGGTGGAGTGTTCAGAGGTGGAGTGTTCAGGGGTGGAGTGTGCAGGGGTGGAGTGTGCAGGGGTGGAGTGTGCAGGGGTGGAGTGTGCAGGGGTGGAGTGTGCAGGGGTGGAGTGTTCAGGGGTGGAGTGTTCAGGGGTGTAGGCGTTGAGGGTTCAGCAATTTGGGTGTCGGTGTGTGGGCGCAAGGTCACTGATTGGATTAGACCTGACCCCGGGTCGTGTTTGGAGGCGGAGCGCCTGTGGACGCGAAGGGCGGACACGAGCGGGCGACATTCGACATGAAATTAAGGTTTTAATAATTTCGGTGATGTTTATACAGTAATAGAAATCTCCATATATATAAAAGGCAAAGTAGTGTGTCTGTTCGAAATGTTTAGCGTACTTGCCGACATGCAACAAACTTGAAATTTGCCATGTGGGTACTTTCCAGACTGTACACCATGCAAAAATTATAAAAATACACTTTCTTATTTTTGGGAGGGGGGTTGGGGAGCTCAATAATGCATTTATTTTTTGCACGGCAAGTGAGCTGTGATTTCAGTTCTGTCATGTGACCCGCGCATGTGGAAGCGTAACGCATTGTAGTGTAGTGGTTAGCGCGCCGCGCTACAAACCCGGCGACCCGAGTTCGATTCCCGCTCACGGCCACCACGATTATTTGAACCGGTCCTGGGCCTCCCCTAGGTCGACTCAAACGAGTAACTGGTGTGGTGTGTGAACATCGCCACTGGGGAGACAAAGACGGCCGGGCGTCCCGGGCGAAGCCAGGTAGTCAAGCTAGTGAGATTATAAAAAGTAAAGATACATTTTATCATTATGGCCGGTGTCCTTCACGTGTTAGATGACGCTGTACCCATGGAGTACAGTCGCTGAACTACAGCATCTCTTAAGGACTCGTAAATGTGGCGATGGTGGCGAGGTGGCAGTTAAATGTTGGATGTGGTGATAGTCGATGTTGCTGCTGATGATGTTAAATGTGATGGTGGAGGTGAATGTGATGATGGATAATATGTGCCGGATATAGTGGTGGTGATAGTATGGTGTGACAGGTGACTGTTGCGATGTTTGTGGTAGAGGCCGACCGAAAACGAAACTAAACCGAAAGTTAAAAATTTACTTTAGGCCAAAACCAAAACTATGCCGAAAGAGGCCATTTGCCAACTTTCGGCGCCGAAACCGAATTTCGGTCGGCCTCTAATTTGTGGTGACGGTGATGGTAGAGGTGGATACATTGACGTGGGACACAACGTAATAATGCTGGACGTGATGTTTGTAATATCCGCAATTGCATCTCAGGGCAGCAGTTCTGTTGGTGGCTGAAGACCGTGGCTTTCGTCCTGGTGTGAACGCCTCCCTCCCCTCTTCCCTGCAGGCAGAGGTGCCCCCCAGGTTAAGGCAAGAAGCACGCATGCTGACGGCCCTGCACGAGCTGAGCGGCCACCTGGAGACGCTCTTCTCCCTGTCGCACGTGCCCCGGGTCCTCATCCTGCTAGGGCCGAGCCCCATGTCGCCGCTTGAGCTCTACGAGCTGGACTTCCACGAGCTGGCGCTGGGAGGCAGCGGCGATTCACTGTGCCACGCTCGCTACAGCCGCCACGTGTTTCACTCGCTCTTCGTGCAGAATGTGTTTGGCGAGCCGCGCGCTCTGCCTGTCACCTCGGCCACACTGCTGCTGTGGGCGCACAGGGACTGCGGCGTCGACTGGTTCAAGCCCAAGCTCAACTACAAGCCGCCCAACCGCGGGAGGAGGGTCGTCGTCGCGTTTAGCAACAGCCTGGAGGAGCCGCTGGGCACGGCCCTCGGCCAGCCATGCGAGGACGACTGCGTGTGGTTCCAGGCCCCTGTGGCCATCAAGGGCGTCCTGGACAGTGGGTCAGGCCAGGGTTAGAGGGGCTGATGGACGGGACCAGCTAGGCCAAAATTCTAGGGATGCTGCAAATTTTAATATGACTTATTTCAATATTATATCTGAATCTCCTTCCTTACGGTCAATCAAGGCCCAACTATTAAAGATTCTGCCGTAAACGTATTCATCCATTAAATTGCCTAGTCTCACGTTTATATTTGGGGCAGTGCGAATTCACGCGCTACGTGGTTTAAATTTCGGAGCCGCAGTTGCACACAGGAGAGTCTCTGATTCGCAACTTGTGCATCGGGCATTTGCAACTCGCGTGCTTCGTGTGGGTCCGGGTATGTGCTGCCCCGTTGTTCCCATGGCAGTTGGAAGCCAGGGAAGTCGAGCTGGAATATAGTGCTTGCAAGGGTGTCCAGGGTATGGGGACACTATAGTACATCGTACGATTCAAGGTCTGCAATAACACAATTTTTTTTGTTCCTGGGTAGTGAGTGTTATTTCCTAATTGCTTATGCCTCAAAAGTACAGAAAATGGCTATTATTCCTCACAAACTTTGCTTTGTGACCAGGACAGTGATATTTAGAAATTAACCTATTTTCCAGAACATTCCAGATAGATTCAGTGCTGAGTAAACTTGTAGTAACTTCTAGAACATTATGGAACTTTCCAGTAATATAAATAGTAGTATAAATACAGGGGCCTTAAGCCCACCAGTTCAGTTTAGTTCCAGCTGCCTAAGTGGATACATATCTGCATTTTTCTGAGATGGCATCAAGAGGCTGCAAGCATCCGGCAAACGCATTTTGCCATGTCTGCGGTCAGTTTATCAAGACAAGAGCGAAAAAGTACTCTGTGGAAGCATTACATACACAGATACTCAGCTATTGTGAAAGCCTGGTGGGCCGTTTGCCCATTTCTCCACTAACAACATTATAAGAGGCTTGCAGAAGTCTAAAGAGTTAAGAAATTGGGGAGTAAATATTTGATATAAAAGGTTCCCGAAAATTGTCGACCCCCCCCCCTCAAAAGCAAAGTATGTGCTTTGGTAACAAAGTTTGTGGGGAATAATAGCCATTTTCTCTACTTTATAGGCATAAGCAATTACAAAATAACACTATCCATTTCCAAAATAACATCACATTGTGATAATCTATACTGATTATGGTTTTTTAAATGTTATTTCCTGATTATTTTGTGAGATAAACTTTGTCATAAAAGTTGTCAATTTGTAGCCGTTACCCACAACATTGGTGCTTTGCAAAATGTCATGCAGAGTAATTGAACAGTGCTGGTTTTCATGATAATATTAATAGTTCATTTATTTAATAGTTTTTGTTTTCATTTTACCGAAAGCATATACATGGTGAATGTTATATGTTGAAAAGTTTTAATGTTTGCAAGACTCATAGGCTCATGCTGGATGAACTGCAGTGGAAAGAGTTTACCGGTCTTTATTGGCACTGGAAGCCATCAATGGTATAAAGACTGTCAAGGTAGCAGGCATTCGGACATCTGCACTGAACAGTTAAAGAATTTTGCACTAAAAACAAGGGATTGGCTCTTGAGAATGTTAAATTCCTGTGCTCATACCCAAGACACGGAAGACTTGTCACGTTTCCAAAGCCAGGAAAAGACCCATCTGACCCTAAGAGCGTCTGACCAATGTCCTTGTTCTGCTACCTCTTCAAACTTTTTGAGAGACTTATCTTGAAGCAGCAATCACCTATACTGGAGGAACAACTCTTTCCAGAACAATCTGATTTCCAGCCGCGCAAGTCCTGCACTGGCCAAGTGCTAAACCTCACCCAGTACATAGGAGACGGTTTCAAGAACAACCAAATCACTGGTGTCACCTTGGTCAACCTATCAGCAGCATATGACACTTGTTAACCAGATAATTCTCCTTTCAAAGATCTACAGCCTGACAAAGTACCACCACCGAGTCGGAATAATTCTGTCACTGATTGAATTATTGGAGCAAAATGCAGTGGAATGGACTACCACAAGGAAGTGTTCTGATACCCCTCAAGATCTACACAAACGATCAAACTTTCTACCCACATACAGCTTCATCTATGCCGATAACCTGATAATTGCAACGCAAGCAGGAGACTTCGCCAAAATTGAGCACACCCTGACACCAACCAGCTCCGGCAAAACCCAAGCAAGACAGGTCGGTCATAACGGTGATGTAAAAAACGTGAAAGGTCACCGAGAATGACATTCCCCTGACTCGCTGCACCAACTTCATCTACCTTGGAGTGACCCTGGACCGCACACACTCCTTCAAGACCCACATTGAAAACACGAGGAAAAGTCAGCTGCCGCAACAACATCATCCACAACTTGTAAACTCAAAACGGGGAGCGTCCACAGCTGCAATAAAGACATCGGCACTTGCCTTATGCTACTCCAGCACAGAGAACGATCGGTCCATGCAAACAAAATAGACCATGTGCTAAAGTGGTGCCTCCAACCCACGAATGTCAACAGCTTTTACATTCTTGCTGGAATAGCGCCACCAAACATCTGGCGAGCCGTGGCGAGTCGAGCAGAGAGGAGGCGACAAACTACAGACACCACACACCCTCTACGCAACCAAATCGGCTGCAGTCAAGTGCCTGAAGTCGCGCACGAGCTTCCTCACAACAACGCAGGCACTTTAACAACAACACGCCTGCGACCACACTCGAGGAGACGTGGCAGAGAAGCGACTTGAGCGCCTTGGTCCCGAGACCAACGCCCCACAGGAGCAGTCGCGGTGGGGTGGACCACGTGGACAACTTTGAACCGACTTCGCACCCAAGTTGGCAGCTCAAGATTCAACCTGGCCAAATGGTGGTGATCCACGCGGCCGGAGAGCTGTCTGGTGAGAGGCAGGCCATGCGACACCTCTCAGTCTGCCAACCGCACAGGGAAGGGCCCTGCACTGTGCATTATCTCACAGCAGGCGACCTTCGAGCCCTGAGATGTGCTCGCTACTGGAAGGACTTTTGACTTTGATGGATGGAAACAAAATAATCGGCACTGGAAGTACAGCAAGCTCAACAGCACAGTGGGAGTTATGAAATTACAAGTTACGGGAAACTGATGTCGCAATAATCTTCATATATTTCACATTTACGTCTCATCGTGAAAAATATAGCAACTCTACACAAGATGCTGCCTTTAGGGGGAATTCGAAATTAAATCGTGGTCATCCGCGTCAATGTATGTCAACCTGAATCCTTAAGCCTTTTGTAATTATGAAATTGCTGTGTATATCGTCGGTTTGTAGCCTGTGCAATCTGCTGGACTCTCGTTACGTGATTGTGAAAAGGGAGTGAGTGGTGGTGCTGTGTGATCTGGGGTATGGCTGATGTTGATGTAGAGTCACAACTTTATTTTTACATGGGGTGACCGTGTTGTACATGATAGTATACCGTGTGAGGCTATGCAAGGGAAAGGTGCCAAATTTGTGGAAGGTGAATAAATGTTTTGACACCGAATCGTCTAGAATCCCCCTACAAATCAAACGCATTGTTGAGGAAATGCTGTTAGCAAGCACCTATTACGGGGTTCGCGGCGAAACCAGGGGGTGGTGGAGCCAGCACCATGCTCGGCCACCTTTGTCTCCCCAGTGCTGATGTGTTCGCATCGTGCAGGGGTGCTCATTAACTTTTGCAGTGAATGAGTATTTTACTGAATACTTTCAAGTAAGCTCTTATACAGTACGAATTGGAAACGGCAAAAACGAATCTCGACGTTTCAGCTACTTTGCCTGCAAGAAATTACGAGATAACATAAAACATGCAAAATCAACGTATGTTAAATCCACAGACCATGCTCAATCCCTGGTGTGTGTTAAATCCACAGACCATGCCCAACCCATAGCGTGTGTTAAATCCACAGACCATACTCAATCCCTGGTGTGTGTTAAATCCACAGACCTGTGTTAAATCCACAGACCATGCCCAACCCATAGCATGTGTTAAATCCACAGACCATACTCAATCCCTGGTGTGTGTTAAATCCACAGACCATGCCCAACCCATAGCGTGTGTTAAATCCACAGACCATGCCCAACCCATAGCGTGTGTTAAATCCACAGACCATACTCAATCCCTGGTGTGTGTTAAATCCACAGACCATGCCCAACCCATAGCGTGTGTTAAATCCACAGACCATACTCAATCCCTGGTGTGTGTTAAATTTTAGTATTTGGGTGCTATAAATTTCCACATACACCGCTTCGTTGAGCTATCAGTTGTGTCCAGGTGGCTTTTGAAAAAGAGCTATATAACTCAGTAGGCCTTACCTGGTAGAATAAAACATAGTTTTAAATCGTGTTTTTACAGTCGCTGCTAAACCCAAAGCATATTACATCTACAGACCATACCCACCCTACAGCCTGTGTTCAAACCACAGACCATGCTCAACCCATGAAGTGTGTTCAATCCACAGACCATGGTTAACCCATGCAGTGTGTTCAATCCACAGACCATGCCCAACCCATAGCGTGTGTTAAATCCACAGACCATACCCAACCCATAGCGTGTGTTAAATCCACAGACCATGCCCACCCACAGCGTGTGTTAAATCCACAGACCATACCAAACCCATAGCGTGTGTTAAATCCACAGACCATGCCCAACCCATAGCGTGTGTTAAATCCACAGACCATACCCAACCCATAGCGTGTGTTCAATCCACAGACCATACCCAACCCATAGCGTGTGTTAAATCCACAGACCATGCCCAACCCACAGCGTGTGTTAAATCCACAGACCATGCCCAACCCATAGCGTGTGTTAAATCCACAGACCATGCCCAACCCATAGCGTGTGTTAAATCCACAGAGCATACCCAACCCACAGCGTGTGTTAAATCCACAGACCATGTCCAACCCACAGCGTGTGTTAAATCCACAGACCATACCCAACCCACAGCGTGTGTTAAATCCACAGAGCATACCCAACCCACAGCGTGTGTTAAATCCACAGAGCATACCCAACCCACAGCGTGTGTTAAATCCACAGAGCATACCCAACCCATAGCGTGTGTTAAATCCACAGACCATACCCAACCCATAGCGTGTGTTAAATCCACAGACCATACCAACCCATAGCGTGTGTTAAATCTACAGAGCATACCCAACCCACAGCGTGTGTTAAATCCACAGAGCATACTGGCCTTAGAGAACACCGCTCGAGCACGTGTGTGCCACTGTTGTCGAGTGCCCGCCACAACAATCCATCTCCCCAGCCCGCCGCGGGCTGTCTGCCACACGGCACAATGGAGCCGAACTGCGGCGAACAGAGCGCCCAGTGAGGCCCGGCGAGCCCGTGTCCCCGTACTGCTCGCGGCCCGGTGAACAGCACAAAGACCCCGCTAGCTGGAGCCACGGGCCACGATGACCGCCGGGCGTGTGGCTCCGCTTCACGTGAGCCCGTGTTGCGGCTGCTTCTAGAAGCGTCCTCGGTCGGGGTTCTTAGGGTTCTCCGTAGCGGAGTGATTCACGCCGACACACAAAGGGCTCGCAATGTGGAGTGGGATGCCGACGCGTTCCGACTCAACGCGTGCCAAGACCGAACTCAGCAGTGGATTCAAACGAAGGTCACAAAGTAGAATGCCCGTAAAATAAAATAGTTATGTTTTCTGTTACACGTTTAGTAGTCTATGGGTAATGTTTTTACCATTACATTCCATCGGCATTGCTGGAATACCACGATAGTCTATGGGCATTACTGTGATACACCACGGTAGTCTATGGGCATTGCTGTGATACACCACGGTAGTCTATGGGCATTACTGTGATACACCACGGTAGTCTATGGGCATTGCTGTGATACACCACGGTAGTCTATGGGCATTACTGTGATACACCACGGTAGTCTATGGGCATTACTGTGATACACCACGGTAGTCTATGGGCATTGCTGTGATACACCACGGTAGTCTATGGGCATTACTGTGATACACCACGATAGTCTATGGGCATTACTGTGATACACCACGGTAGTCTATGGGCATTACTGTGATACACCACGGTAGTCTATGGGCATTACTGTGATACACCACGATAGTCTATGGGCATTACTGTGATACACCACGGTAGTCTATGGGCATTACTGTGATACACCACGGTAGTCTATGGGCATTGCTGTGATACACCACGATAGTCTATGGGCATTACTGTGATACACCACGGTAGTCTATGGGCATTACTGTGATACACCACGGTAGTCTATGGACATTACTGTGATACACCACGGTAGTCTATGGGCATTGCTGTGATACACCACGATAGTCTATGGGCACGTGGAAGCGAAAGCGCTTTGAGAATTCTCGAGAGCGAGGGGGCGGGGCTTTGAGAATTCTCGAGAGCGAGGGGGCGGGGCTTTGAGAATTCTCGAGAGCGAGGGGGCGGGGCTTTGAGAATTCTCGAGAGCGAGGGGCGGGGCTTTGAGAATTCTCGAGAGCGAGGGGGCGGGGCTTTGAGAATTCTCGCGAGCGAGGGGGCGGAGCTTTGAGAATTATCGATAGCGAGGGGGCGAGGCTTTGATAATTATCGAGAGCGAGGGGGCGGGGTTTCGCGAAACTTCCACCAATCACCGGAGCACGCCGGGCGAGACCCCCGCCCGCGTCTTCTCGAAATTTCGCGTTCGCTATAAGCAGCGGCGCCGGCAACAGCCGCGCTCACAGAAATCTCCCGCAGCCACCGCGAAAGTGCGAACCACTGCGCCTTGACGACTTCTCACTGCTACGGCAGAACGATACGAGGTAACGACGGCGTTATTGAGAGCAGTGTACGGTGTATGCGTCGTGCTCGGCGATGCTTGTAATGTTGAAGTAGCGACTGTCGGCTGGCTACTCGGAGGTGCAGTGGCTGCTCGGTGTCACGTCGAGTTGCACCACCACGCGGTCGGCCGTTAACCGGAGACCATCGGGCGGCGCCCGCCACTGACGGGGGACGCGAGAGAGCGAGCGAGGCGGTGGTGGGTGCCGTGTGGGTGCCGTGGGTGGGTGCCGTGGTGGGTGTCGTGTGGGGGTACCGTGTGGGGGTACCGTGTGGGGGTACCGTGTGGGGGTGCCGTGGTGGGGTGCCGTGTGGGTGCCGTGTGGGGGTGCCGTGGTGGGTGCCGTGGGTGGGTGCCGTGGGTGGATGCCGTGTGGGGGTGCCGTGGTGGGTGCTGTGGTGGGGTGCCGTGTGGGGGTGCCGTGGGTGGGTGCCGTGGTGGGTGCCGTGGTGGGTGCCGTGGGTGGGTGCCGTGGGTGGGTGCCGTGGTGGGGTGCCGTGGGGGGGTGCCGTGGTGGGTGCCGTGGGTGGATGCCGTGGGTGGGTGCCGTGGGGGGTGCCGTGTGGGTGGGCGATGGTGCAGGCGGAGCGGTCAGCGGGTGGCGCCCGTGAGAGGGAACATTCTGGAAGGTCCATAGGGACTCCGTGTCTGCATAGGGGCTCTGTGTCTGCATAGGGACTCCGTGTCTGCATAGGGGCTCCGTGTCTGCATAGGGGCTCCGTGTCTGCATAGGGGCTCCGTGTCTGCATAGGGGCTCCGTGTCTGCATAGGGGCTCCGTGTCTGCATAGGGGCTCCGTGTCTGCATAGGGGCTCCGTGTCTGCATAGGGGCTCCGTGTCTGCATAGGGGCTCCGTGTCTGCATAGGGGCTCCGTGTCTGCATAGGGGCTCCGTGTCCGCACAGGGGGCTCCGTGTCTGCATAGGGACTGTGTCCGCACAGGGGGCTCCGTGTCCGCACAGGGGGCTCCGTGTCCGCACAGGGGGCTCCGTGTCCGCACAGGGGGCTCCGTGTCCGCACAGGGGGCTCCGTGTCCGCACAGGGGGCTCCGTGTCCGCACAGGGGGCTCCGTGTCCGCACAGGGGGCTCCGTGTCCGCACAGGGGGCTCCGTGTCTGCACAGGGGGCTCCGTGTCCGCACAGGGGGCTCCGTGTCCGCACAGGGGGCTCCGTGTCCGCACAGGGGGATCCGTGTCCGCGTGTCTCTCTAGAGGCTCAGTGGGTGCCCCCACGCGTCTCCTGCGCTGCTATCTCCACAGATGCCCGAGGTGTCGGAGACGACGCAGCCCATGGCGGGCAGTGGCGAGGAGGCGGAGACCTTCGCCTTCCAGGCGGAGATCGCCCAGCTCATGTCCCTCATCATCAACACCTTCTACTCCAACAAGGAGATCTTCCTGCGCGAGCTCATCTCCAACAGCTCCGACGTACGGAACCACTCGCACCCCGCTCCTCGCACACACGGACACACACCGCTCCACACACCCTGACACACGGACACACCCCGCTCCTCACACACGGACACACCAGGCTCCACACACCCTCACACACGGACACACCCCGCTCCTCACACACGGACACACCAGGCTCCACACACCCTCACACACGGACACACCCCGCTCCTCACACCCTCACACACGGACACACCCCGCTCCTTACACCCTCACACACCGCTCCTCACACACGGACACACCAGGCTCCCACACACCCTCACACACGGACACACCCCGCTCCTTACACCCTCACACACCGCTCCTCACACACGGACACACCAGGCTCCCACACACCCTCACACACGGACACACCCCGCTCCTCACACCCTCACACACGGACACACCAGGCTCCACACACCCTGACACACCTCGCTCCTCACACACACGGACACACGGACACACCCCGCTACACACACCCTCGCACACGGACACACCAGGCTCCACACACACGGACACACCAGGCTCCACACACACGGACACACGGACACACCCCGCTCCACACACACGGACACACCCCGCTCCTCACACGGACAGACACCTCTCTCCGTACACACACGAGACAACCCCCTCCACACACCGTCACACACGGACACACCCCGCCACACCCCTGACGCCACCGGCCCCCCACGCTATTAAGGGGGAGGGGGTGCTAGGACCCCCCCACCCGCCCCTTCACACATCCCAAGTATCGTATGGGCCGCTTGCGGTCTAATTGTGATTTTAGATTAACGCTGCTGCTGTCATTGTGAGTGGCCCCATGTCCACTGTTACTGTGTAGACTGCTTGCCAATACACTTCCATGACTGACAGTGTGGAAATGAGGCCTTCATCCAGCAGTAGATTGGCAAACATCTTTGCAATGTATTATTTTATTTACTCTGCTTGTTTACCTCAGAGTCATAAGACTCGTTTTCAGGAGGGTCCTGCAAAGTTTTTGTGGTTGGACGATGTTACTTGGTGTGTGTGATCCAAATTGAGTAATTTGCCGGTATTCTTTCAGCCAGCATTGGCATGTTTTTGGCCAATACCTCGATATACGAAGTTTATGCGTTCCTGGAGCTTCATTTGTATATCAAAAGTTGTTACATTGAATAGCATGTACGTTAGTACTCTGAGGGTGCGTTCCAATTTCATACAATAAACATTCAATAACTTTCCATTCGTATCAAGATCATTTATATTGAAAATATTTTATTCTGTACAGTATTAAAATACAAAAACCGTCATAATTAAAAGAAACGGTGTAATGTACTGAAAAAATATTCACACTAGCCAGTGTAGTCTTCGGTGCAGTCATGAGGGGCTACATTGCCCACCAAACACCATATCACCGTAACAGTGTATTGTTGCATGCTGATTGGCCGAGACGAATGTAGACACAATTTCTATAGCCGATCTCAATGCTCATAAAACTGTATCTTGTAATTTAATTCTAATTTATATTGAACTGTAGATGGGCTATTTTATTTATCACATTTCAGTGAATTTATTTTTTGCCATTAATATAATAGTAATAAATCCAAAGTTTGTATATCGAAAATTTGCTTATCGAGGTATTATTTACCAAGTTACATAACCAAAGTGTTGTTCGCTATGGGAGGAAACCTGAGACAACCTGATGAAGCCCATGAAAAATAGGGGGAGAGTGTATAAACTCCAGTCACCCTCAGTCAGGAATAAAACCCAGGCCCTTCTTGCCGTGAGGCACATGAGTTGCCAATGTGCCGCCACCCTGCCGCTTAGTCGTAGATTCCGGAATTTGGTCGAGCCGTGAATGTGATGGTCGTGGATGTGGTAGCATGCGTCGATCTGCTGTTGCCATGGCATTGTAAACATCACTGTGCGGTCCCCCGTCTGCCCAGGCGCTGGACAAGATCCGCTATGAGAGCCTCACTGACCCCAGCAAGCTGGACACTGGCAAGGAGCTCAAGATCGACATCATCCCCAATAAGATCGACCGCACACTCACACTCGTCGACACGGGCATCGGCATGACCAAGGCCGACCTCGTCAACAACCTAGGCACCATCGCCAAGTCGGGCACCAAAGCCTTCATGGAGGCCCTGCAGGCGGGCGCCGACATCTCGATGATCGGCCAGTTCGGCGTGGGCTTCTATTCTGCCTACCTGGTGGCCGAGCGCGTCACCGTCGTCACCAAGCACAACGATGACGAGCAATATGTGTGGGAGTCTTCGGCCGGCGGCTCGTTTACCGTGAGGCCCGACAACGACGGTGAGTATAAGCTCCCGGTGGAGCACGCGTGGCTCTCGCCATGGCGCACGCCCAGCACAACCCGCTGCCGGGTGATGAGTTTGCTAATCTCGAGTGGCTGCGATGATGCGGTGCAGGGGAGCCTCTCGGTCGTGGCACCAAGATCGTGCTCCACATTAAGGAGGACCAGACTGAGTACCTGGAGGAGAGGTCAATTAAGGACATTGTCAAGAAGCACTCCCAGTTCATCGGCTACCCCATCACGCTTTATGTGAGTAACGTGCTGCGTTTCGTACATTCGACCAACTCGGACCGCAGTCCGTTTGTTTCATCGCTGTTTTGGTGAGCAACCTCCATCGTATATCGTCTGAAGTTTGGGTAATCCATCTGTTGCAGGTGGAGAAAGAACGCAACAAGGAGGTGAGCGATGACGAGGAGGACAAGGAGGAGGCGGCTCCTGATAAACCTAAGGAAGAGAGGTCTGACGACGACACTCCCAACATCGAAGACGTAGGCTCCGATGAGGAGGAGGACAAGGCCAAGGACTCGGACAAGAAGAAAAAGAAGAAGAAGATCAAGGAGAAGTACACGGACAAGGAGGAGCTGAACAAGACAAAGCCGCTGTGGACGCGCAACCCGGACGACATCACGGCGGAGGAGTATGGCGAGTTCTACAAGAGCCTCACCAACGACTGGGAGGACCACCTTGCCGTGAAGGTGAGCGTGGTGGTGCCGTTGTCTCTGGACACAGTGGAGGTGACGAGCCAGGGCCTCGTGGCTGCCGTATGTGGCCTGGCGTGTGTTGCCCGTCTGTTGACTTGTGCGATGATGCGGCCCAGAGGGTAGCATGTTCGCTGCTTGTTACAGAGGTTTGTTCAATTGTTAAGAGGCCTGCCTGGTTATAACTGCGGGGTGTATGAACCGTAAAAATACGCTATATCTGCCTCGGTGTACGGTTCAGAGATTGTGTGACGTAAATTGTGTTGTGGCATCATAGTCCAAATTCAATACATTTGTAACGTTAAACCGCAGCGTTGCTTAATTGGGACAAGTGGCAACATTGCCTCCCCCCTCCTCCACCCAACTGTGAAGCGACTGCAGACTTCAAAAGGTGCCTTCGTGATGAGGGCCATGCGCCACAGGAAATGCGCAAATACAAAATGTACTGAATGCCTATTGCACATGGCGTGTTTGTGCTACAGCACTTCTCGGTGGAGGGGCAGCTGGAATTCCGGGCGCTGCTCTTCGTCCCCCGGCGGGCGGCTTTCGACCTCTTTGAAAACAAGAAGAAGAAAAACAACATCAAGCTGTACGTTCGACGTGTCTTCATCATGGACAACTGTGAAGACCTCATCCCGGAGTATCTCAGTAAGCGGGGATGCATGCAGGCTTGAGAGCAACTCGTAAACAATGTCATTTTTTTTCCTCCCTTAAAGCACTTCTTCTATTCAATGGTTTCTCTAGAGTTTTTACAGTGATAAATACTAAAGCCGTGAATGTTCACCGTGTGCAGACTTCATGAAGGGAGTGGTGGACTCCGAGGACCTTCCCCTCAACATCTCGCGTGAGATGCTGCAGCAGAGCAAAATCCTCAAGGTGATCCGCAAGAACATCGTCAAGAAGTCCATGGAGCTGTTCGCGGAGCTCGCCGAGGACAAAGATAACTACAAGAAGTTCTATGAGCAGTTCTCCAAAAACATCAAGGTGGATGCTCTCACCATTTGCCGAATTTCTGCAGCGGTGTGGATTTGAATATTTTGTGATTCGTGCTTTTCCCGTCGTTCAGTTCGTCAGGGGGAAATCTGACCCTGTCGCTCTGCCTTTTATCGTTTTTCCCCACAGCTGGGAATCCACGAGGACTCTCAGAACCGGAAGAAGCTAGCGGAGCTGCTCCGCTACCATACGTCCATGTCGGGCGAGGACATGTGCTCGCTGAAGGACTACGTGTCTCGAATGAAAGAGAACCAGAAGCACATCTACTACATCACCGGTGCGGGCAGACACGCACGTGCCAACAGCACCACACGCGCCACGACACCACACTCCATGGCACCACACACATAATCGTCCCTCGGTCTATAAATAGCATTCCACTTTGTGGTTGTTAACAGTGGTTGTCCTTTTGATTAGTCTTCGCCAAAGGAATTTGGAATGGGACTGTAAACGGGAGATGAGCATCGTCGCGATGCTCATTTGAGCGGGAATTTGTCAAACCGTTAGACGAGGCCGTGGTGCCGGAAGGCTAATTTGTGAACCGCGATTTCGCTCGCAGGCGAGTCAAAAGCGCAAGTGGCCAACTCTGCGTTTGTGGAGCGCGTGCGCAAGCGTGGCCTGGAGGTGGTGTACATGGTGGAGCCCATCGATGAGTACTGCGTGCAGCAGCTGAAGGAGTTTGACGGGAAGACCCTCGTCTCCGTCACCAAGGAGGGCATGGAGCTTCCGGAAGATGAGGAAGAGAAAAAGAGACAGGAGGAGGCCAAGGCCAAGTTTGAGAATCTCTGCAAGGTGGTCAAGGAGATCCTGGAGAAGAAGGTGGAGAAGGTGAGCACTCGGCAGGACTTGTGATGTGAACCTGTCTTGGGGTGGGGAGCCACCCCCAAACTGAAACTAAATTATTTTTAGCTTACCAGGCAAGGCCCACTGAGTTATACAGCTCTTAGAAGCGACCTGGCCACAAATGATAGCCCAATGAAGTGGCTTATCATGTGGACATTTCTAGGAGCTATATACTCTCGATGCATGTTTCTAAATGTGGAGAGAACAACCGGAGGTGCTGGAGAAAAATCCATGTGACCACGGGGAGAACATGCAAACTCCAAATATCCAGGTGTCAGGACTGGGATCGAACCCACGACCTGTATACCAGGCGAGGTAGTTAACATCTCAACACTGCGGCACCCAGTTCCTACCTCGCTGTGCTTGTTATAATTCAATGTAGAGTAGGTTTATGGTTGATGCACCACTCCATCCAGTCACTTATTCAACGATGGTCAGTCCCTTCATCAATCTTCTAGCGCTACGACCATCGTTTACTGTCCCCATCAACTTGCCCCTGATCCCTGCACCCAATGTTTGGCCTCATCGACACTTCGACCAATCCCAGTTCCTGTAAAAACACTTTCTGCGTCTTCACCTCACACTGCGCCTCTTTGAAATACCCTCCCCATTGTTTCCTTTTCCAAGCCTTGCGTAACCTTCATCACTTCAAGACACATGTCACACTCTTACCTATTACAATTTTGATAGTACTGATAGTACTGTTTGTTGCTGGCCGCTTGACGTATTTGGGCCTGTGCTCGGCTGCTGTCAAGAAAAATCCACTTGACGCTTGGATGATTTCCACGAGGGCTCTGCTCACCTTTTTTCTGCGTAAATACAACGGCACTTGTCCACCGTGCTCATTGTTAATGCGCGTTCCCTTCTGTGCCGTGCAGGTGACCGTGTCAAATAGGCTGGTCTCCTCTCCGTGCTGCATCGTGACCAGCACCTACGGCTGGACGGCCAACATGGAGCGCATCATGAAGGCGCAGGCCTTGCGAGACTCCTCCACCATGGGCTACATGGCCGCCAAGAAGCACCTGGAGATCAACCACGACCACCCCATCGTGGAGACCCTGCGTCAGAAGGTGGAGGTGGACAAGAACGACAAGTCGGTGAAGGACCTGGTCATCCTGCTGTTTGAGACGGCGCTGCTGTCGTCTGGATTCACGCTCGAGGACCCACAGACGCATGCGAGCCGCATCTACCGCATGATCAAGCTGGGACTTGGTAGGCCTCTCATCGATTCCCTCTCGCAACAACTTGCAATTCCCCACCGTTAAATAGGCAACAAAATACAAAGAGAATTGGCCTCATTCCCGTTTCTCTCCATATACACACAGGCCTCTCGGAGTGTAATTTCAGCAGCATTTGGTTCTACACGAGCCAATGCTGGACCAGTTTTGATGATCATTGTCCCATCAGCAGAGCCAGGTTTGCTTGAACCAATGCTGCTGAGATGTTTATGTTTTTAACATGGGTACTATCCATAATACATAGTCAAAGCTTTTTTGGGTACTAGTTTTTGTATATTGTACATAACACAATAATTACACTTAGCTATGCGAAGGAGGCGTGCTGTCTGCTTATTTTATTTTTTATATCCCCCTTGCCACCACTTCTATTTTGTGTCAAAATGAGGTGGCTTGGGTGAGGGCAATTATTTAAATGGTCATCTTGTGTAGGTGATGTAATGGTGTAGACTACCCATCCTGACCATCTTGCGAGGGTGACTACGGTCCCCAGAGCTGATAACAGCCGCTGCGTAGGCCACACTAGTTGACACATTACACCTGCTACACAAGGTGTGACCGCTCTCCCCAGTGAGGTGGGGTTGTTGGATGTGGAGCGTTAAGTGGAGCTTGTGTGTGTGGCAGGCATCGATGACGATGAGTCGACAATTGAAGACATCCCTGCCGGTCCCGCAGACGACCTTCCACCCCTGGAGGGCGACGACGAGAACGTGTCGCGCATGGAGGAAGTCGACTAGAGGAGGAAGAAGCCCCCCCCGCCCTGTTCTCCCTCACACGATGTTATTCGTTGTGACCCTCGGGCTCTGCACATTCATAACAATTTGAAAGCGTTCACAAATATGAAGACTGGACCATGTAAAGGCTCCCAGTGTCTTTTCTTTTTAACCCACATGCCGAGTGAGCATGGCTCCACAAGCCCAAAACGTGAAGTGGTCACAGCAACAAACAGCACTTTCTTTCAAAGTTGTCATGGATCCGAGTGAACAGATTTTCCCGAAATTGAGCAAGATTCTTACAAGAGTGGGCAAAGCGATGAAGTATGATGGGAGGAGGGTATTTACAAGTGGAGCAGTGCGGTGAAGGAAGTGCCGCGTCCTGATTAATTATCCTACAGAGGTGTGAAGATTTCTGTATACTGTTAATGCTTCTATATAGTTCTGTGCTTATTCCATAGGCTGCTATTCCACTGTAAATGGTCCGTGTGCAGACAGCTGCTGGGAGAGTGGGTATGTCGACGAAACTTCCCTCCCTTCGCAGAACAAGCTACGATATACTGCATGCAGTGAATTTAAGTTATGTTTTTGTAAACGTTGGCTGCACCGTTGTCAATGCCATTCTAGTGCTTTTAATTTCCTTGGATATTTTTTAATAAAAATTGCACGCACATTACTGGGTTTATTCCTAAATGCGTCATGGCTGTTCATTGGTTTCTCGGCGGTGGAGCGAGTGGCTCGGAATCTGAAGGTTGTGAGTTCAAATCCTGATTTTGGGGTTGACTCGGCCCAACGTCCCTCTGGGATACAATAAGCAACACTGGGGAGAAAGCCAACGGTGTTTATACAATGGAGAGACTTTTCTCACATGGGAATGAGGAATTTAAAATTGAGCTGCAAATGGGAGGTGACCGTTACCTCATTGCTCATTTGAGCAGAACAATGTAGCGCCACGTAGCGGCTGCGAGGGCTGTGGTTATGTGCACAGGGGTTACCCTCCGTGTCCCCTCGCGTTACAGTACTTTGTAGACCTGGCAATCTTGAGATGCTGCTGGCTGTGTTTCCAGCCCAAGGGTCTGCAGCCTGGTAGGTGACAAGGGGGTGCTGGTGGGGCGAGTTGCCTCCAGATGGGGAACTAGTGCCGATGGGTGATGATGGTGGGTGACTTTATTTTTGGCACAGGTTAACCTCATTAGGCAATGCATGGCCATTTTCGTTGGGGACATGGTTACACAGAAACCTGGTTACAGCAAAGAATATAAAAAAAACTACTGTATTGCAAGATGCCGAATGGCAAGGTCGTGTGCATTATCCTGGTGGTAGAACCAGCACAAAGAACGCGGTGAGTAGAATGCACCACATACAACAAATGGTGCAAAACAGCACCGGTAAGATTGTCAAAAACTTAGTCTTAAAAGCAAATCAATTGGTAAGTTGCTACCAGAACGATAGTGGGTGGCAATGACCACTGTCTGCTGTTGGAGGCGGAGCGAGATGGGTGGACTCGGGAAGGCTGCTGTTGAGTCGTGGTTCTACTGATTCTGGTGGTGACCTTTCCAGTGTCACAGCAGCGGTATACGACACGAGAAATGCACTGCGACCAGAAATGAAGCCACGTGACGCAACGAGTGGGGGCGGAGCACGATATTTTTCAGGTGGCAGTTTAATACAAAAACAACAATAACGCGTTCGCTTTTCAACGGTGGCGAGTTGTACCCCACTCAGGTCGCCACCTGTGCACGGTTTGGCCCGGCCCAGTCCAGGAATTGACGTCTGTGTTCAGGTGGCAGCAGACATTGATTTGTACCCAGATCTGATACCGGTACGATATTGTGTTGAACCGTACCACATGAAAGTGCAGTTTCCATAGACGTCGTGTCTCTTTGGTCACGTAGGTACGTGACTTTACCGAAAGAACCAAAGTATGGATCCTTGCAGTCACGAAAACTTCAAATCTAGAACGCCGTGTCTGAATGATGACATGCGTTGTGCGGATTTGGCCTACAGTGGGGGAGGTGGGGATTTCCTGGTGACACCGAGGAGGTGAGGGATCCCCCAGAGCTTATTGGAGGCTTACACCCTCGAAAATAGAATCTCAGATCCCTGGTGGGCGCTTACCCCCCTAATCCACCCCGACATCCCGTCCACCAGGGCACCGTGGTGGCGAGATGTTAACTACCTTGTCTGGTATGCAGGAGGTCGTGGGTTCAATCCCGAGCCTAACGCCTGCTGCATCTTTGAAGTTTGCGTGTCTCTCTCCCCGTGGTCGCGTGGATTTTTCTCCGGGTCCTCCGGTTTTCCCCTCCACATTTAGAATCAACGTGCGTTTAGAGTATTTGGCTGCTATAATTTTACACGTGATAAGCCACTTCGCTGAGCTATAATTTTTTGATAGCCAAGTCACTTATGAAAAAGAGCGATGTAGCTCGGTGTGCCTTACCTAGTGAAAGGTACATATCTTGAATAGAGTTTGTTTGGGTTAGATCGCATAAATATGCATGCGTCGTTAAGCCCGCCACTGCCCGACACAGCCAGAAGTAAGGTTTGTCACGTAAACAAAACGTGGCAATTAGTTACTAGTTCAGCACACTGGTGTGTGGGAGAGTAAACCCACGACATTTACAATTCGAGTACGACGTTTCGCCGGTGATTACAAAACCAGCCTCAGGCGACAGCCAGGATTGTGGATACATCCTTCTGTTTCGGCGTTAAATAGAGGAATAAAATGTTATATCGTCAATGTGAGCAAATCAAGTCCATGGGGTAGGGGGGTAAGGAGCAGATTAGTGGATCTCTATTATTGATCTATTCACAGTTAGTCAACATACAGAATGCACATAACGTATGCACATTAACGACCTGAGGACACGAAAATCGTCTCAAAAACGCCAGAGGCCCACCTCGCTTGCGGGTTTACTCTCCAACGCACCGGTGCTGCTGAACGAGTAACTAATTATTCTTGGGTCTTTCGGTGAAGTCACGTCGATAGGTTAAAAGAAAACCTATCTACGTTACTTTACCCGTAAGACCCAAGAATATGAATTCCTAGCAGTCACGAAAGCTTTCGGTCAATGAGTAACTAATTGACGCGTTTCGTTTACGTGACAAATCTCACTAATTGGCCGGGTGGTGACGGGATTCATGACACAACCACCCCAACCTCTATTAGGAATAATATTGGTCGCGATTATTCCTGACTACGCGTTACATCAAAATGTAACCCCGGGGATTGGGGGCGCCCACTGGGCCACCAGAGGTCGCTGTGGGCCCTGCCGGCGAGGGGCGGAGCCTGCGCGTGGCGCGCGCGTGTGTGCGCGCGCGTCCCCCGTTGCCTTGGCACCGAGGCCCCGGGCCCTCGCCTAGGCCTCCGTGGCCCCCCACGCCGGGACATGGATCCAGCCTTCTTGGCCTGGAGCCGCCTCAGGCGGAGGAGGCATCGCGACTGCGCCGAGATCTGCGGTCAGTTGCTCCGCAAGAATCCCCTGGACCAGGTAAGTCGAGCCGCCTGTGACGGCCGAGAGGCGCCTGCCCGGACCGGGTTGACAACCTCACGAGCCACGCGGGCATTCGTGAGCCGGCTTGACTCTCGCAGGAGCGGCTGCTGAGTGTTTGTACGCTTGGGGCTGCGTGATGGTCCAGATGGCAGCACACGGGCCTTGGATTCGCTCATTCTCTCTGTGCGCAGTTGTTGATCGTCACCGCCTCGCCCGCTGCGTGCTGGGGTGGTGGGGGGTTTCTTCGTTTTTTTTTCCCCCGACAAGAAGCCAAACCCGAGTTCACAGGTCGGCCAAACGTCTCACTGCAGTACCCTCTTGACAGCTCGTCTCGAGAATCAGTGGAGCTCTCCCCGATAGCGGCCTAGATGATTTTAGTATGATTGTCACGATCCGGTGCTAGGCCTCGGACTGCTTGAGTGAGCAGTAAGCCAGCTGCATAAACCACATCACGCAATCGGCTCTCATAAATCACATTGATTAAAATCGTCGCGAAGGGGTAGCCTTCAGTTTTATGCAATTGATGACTGACCCCCAGGGACTGTTAAACACAGATACCTCATGGGACCAGGGACCATGGACTCTAAACATCTTACGGACTATTGCCAGGACATGGACCAGCTTACTCGCTAGCACACAGAGACCCCTAAGGAGCCGCTGTAGTCCGCGTCCGTCACGGGGTTCGTGCGTGGCGCTGGCAGGTGGCGTGGACCCTGAAGATGCGGGCCCTCACGGAGCAGCTCTACGTGGACGAGGTGGACGTGGACGAGGAGGGCTTCGCCGAGATGCTCCTGGACGACAACGCCATCGCCACGGTCTCGCGTGAGCGCCGACACGGCCAACCGTGGACGTGGCAGCAGAGACCCTCCGTGTGCCACGAGCTCCGTGGATGAGTGAACGGTGTCCGAGCGAGTGGATCCTATGAGTCCCCAGTGAATGATGAGTGACTGTGAATACTGAGTTACAAAAATCTTGGGTTGTCTGTCAATGCTGATTGACCCAGTGGATGATGAACAGTGACCGCTCAATGACTACTTTTCAGGTCCCACAATAGATGATGAGTGACTTATTTTGGGACCCCGGTGGATTAGGAGTGACTGGGTTTCGCGAAATGTGTCGATTCCAGGTCCTGGGACATCACTCCGTGCTCCAGCGACCAGCCAGGGGTCCGGCGCCATGGGCCCAAGCCAGGCCGTCAGGTGACGTCACCTGCTTTCACCACCTTCTGGCCGCATTTGTCCACCTCACAGACTTGTGTTTCCTAGATCTTTTTTTCCCACCATTGCTCGTCCGTATTGGATGTGATCTCGGGGCATGCAGGCCCATGACGGCCACGGGACGGCCCCTAACTGGGTTCATGCGGCCTGGGACGCAGTCTGGCCGCCCGGGGACCATGGAGCAGGCCATCCGCACACCCCGTACGGCCCGCACGGCGCGGCCCGTCACCAGCGCCTCAGGCCGGCATGTCCGCCTCGGCACGGTAGGGCCGGCGCTAGTAACGCCGCCACAGTGACGCACGCAACGCGCTCGCTTTCGCTCGGGGAGCTCGCCTTCAGTCGCGGGGTTGGCAACCGGCGGTTCCCGAGCCAGATGCGGCTCTTTGGGTTCCCCCTTGCTGCTCTTTGGCTGCCCCTTTGCGGGATGTTCTTTTTATTTAAACGTGAATCTTTAACGTGATTTAACGTAAAATAATTGATTTACTATGGCAGGGAATGGGTCACTATAGAATGTCTTGGTGATAACAAAATTTCACCTATTTTTGGGTATTTAAGTCAGAATATGTTTGTCATCTGCTATATACCTGCTATGTTTGTGTACCGGTAGCTCTGCTGACCCCTGGTCTAAACTAATACTGTGGGAACTGCGTTAGCAGTGGAGTACAAGCACAGTTAAAACACACACTCATCGCACTTGCCATGAACACTGCCCGATGATAGATAACCCAGCAATCTGAGTTGGATGTCCAGCCACGGCGAATGTCAGTGGCGAGTGACATTGAAAGTGGTCCTTGACCCCCTCCCCCTTTACCAATCCGCACTGGCCAGCGTGCTGAAGTATGTTCAGACAATCCCCCAGCGTGCGGAGGGCTTCCTCCATCAGTACATTGACAGGGGGCAATACATTACTACTTATATTTATAGATAATAGGCTGACATTTAGGGCCTTCTTCATTTTGGGTGACGTTGGCGTCGGCCTGACTTGGCTGTCCGAGCCTTGGTCGATGATGACTCCAATGAGGCCTTACTCCAACAGGCCTCCATGCTGTCGAGCCCAGATGGACCCTTCATCCACCTGTCCCGGCTCAACTTTGCAAAATACGCGCAGCAGCCATCCGTGGCCAAGGTGAGACCCGAGTCGTACACCGGGGCCATCGGTCTGATCCAGGGCGATGTTTGTGACGAGGACACGCTGAGCTGTGGTTCGTTCCCCTCTGTGTCATTTGCAGCCGTTATTTGAATACATCCTTCACCATGAAAATGATGTAAAGAACGTAAGTGATTTCACCGTGCACGCAGCCCTCAGTGTGTGTGCTGTACGCGCTAGAGCTGTTTCTGCGAATGCGCACGGCGGCGCGGCGTCGGGAGTAACGCCCGTCCGCGTGTCGTGCCGTGCGACCAGGCTCTGGAGCTGGCTTCGCTGGCCACTGAGCACGCGCGCTTCCAAGACTGGTGGTGGAAGGTGCAGCTTGGGAAATGCTACTACAGGTCAGTGCTCGGGTCGAGCGGCGGTGCAGCACAGGGCGGGGTTAGGGGCCCAGCGCAGCGGCGAGGGTTGTGTGCACAGGTGCGTGCTGTGCGAGCATGAACCTGGCCTCTTGTGTAAGTGGGTGTGCGTGGGTACGTGCCGTCCATCTCAGTCAACCTATAGCACCTGGGTCTGTTTGTGACCTGCCAGCGGGCCTTTGAAACGTCAATTTGCCTCAAAGTGTACCAGCATGGCACACGTGCCGTGGTGCCTTCACCGTCACTTAGTGGTGAACAGCGGCTGTTGTTGTTGTGCGGGCCCCAGGCTGGGGCTGTACCGAGAGGCAGAGAAGCAATTCAAGTCGGCCATGAAGCAGCACGACTGTGTCGACACGTTCCTCTTCCTGAGCAAGGCAAGTCTGACTCGCAGAATTTACTCAGCATACTGTTAGGTGTGAGGTACTTGTGTCAGTTACATGGGGTCCAGCTGTCAGTATGCGGTGTGTGTGTGCGTGAGGTGTGAGTGCAGTATGTGTGACTGCATTGTGAGTGTGGTGTGTGTGTGAGTGCAGTGTATGTGTGAGTCAGTCTATGTGAGTGCTGTCTGTGTGAGTGCGGTGTGTGCATGAGTGCTTTATGAGTGCGGTGTGTGTGAATGCGGTGTGTGTGTGTGGTGTGAGTGTGCGGTGTGAGTGTGGTTTGGGTGTGGTGTGTGTGCAGTGTGAGTGGGGTGTGAGTGCAATGTGTGTGTGGTGTGAGTGTGGTGTGAGTGCGGTGTGTGTGTGAGTGGTGTGTGTGTGAGTGGTGTGTGTGAGTACGGTGTGTGTGTGAGTATGGTGTGTGTGTGAGGGCGGTGTGTGAGTGTGGTGTGTGTGTGAGTGCGGTGTGTGTGTGGTGTGTGTGTGTGAGTGGTGTGTGTGTGAGTGGTGTGTGTGTGAGTGCGGTGTGTGTGTGGTGTGTGTGTGTGATTGTGGTGTGTGTGTGAGTGGTGTGTGTGTGTGTGGTGTGTGTGTGAGTGCGGTGTGTGTGTGGTGTATGTGTGTGATTGTGGTGTGTGTGTGAGTGCGGTGTGTGAGTGCGGTGTGTGAGTGTGGTGTGGGTGAGTGCGGTGTGTGTGTGAGTGGTGAGTGTGGTGTGTGTGTGAAGAGTGCGGTGTGTGAGTGTGGTGTGTGTTTGAGTGCGGTGTGTGTGAGTGCGGTGTGTGTGTGTGAGTGGTGTGTGTGTGAGTGGTGTGTGTGTGGTGTGTGTGTGTGAGTGTGGTGTGTGTGTGTGAGTGCGGTGTGTGAGTGCGGTGTGTGAGTGTGGGTGTGTGAGTGTGGTGTGTGTGAGTGTGGTGTGTGTGAGTGTGGTGTGTGTGAGTGTGGTGTGTGTGTGATTGCGGTGTGTGTGTGAGTGCGGTGTGTGTGTGAGTGTGGTGTGTGTGTGTGAGTGTGGTGTGTGAGTGCGGTGTGTGAGTGCGGTGTGTGTGTGTGTGAGTGCGGTGTGTGAGTGCGGTGTGTGTGTGAGTGCGGTGTGTGTGTGAGTGGTGTGTGTGGTGTGTGTGTGAAGAGTGCGGTGTGTGAGTGCGGTGTGTGAGTGTGGTGTGTGTGTGAGTGCGGTGTGTGTGAGTGCGGTGTGTGTGTGTGAGTGGTGTGTGTGTGAGTGGTGTGTGTGTGGTGTGTGTGTGTGAGTGTGGTGTGTGTGTGTGAGTGCGGTGTGTGAGTGCGGTGTGTGAGTGTGGGTGTGTGAGTGTGGTGTGTGTGAGTGTGGTGTGTGTGAGTGTGGTGTGTGTGAGTGTGGTGTGTGTGAGTGTGGTGTGTGTGATTGCGGTGTGTGTGTGAGTGCGGTGTGTGTGTGAGTGCGGTGTGTGAGTGTGGTGTGTGTGTGTGAGTGTGGTGTGTGAGTGCGGTGTGTGAGTGCGGTGTGTGTGTGAGTGTGGTGTGTGTGTGAGTGCGGTGTGTGTGTGAGTGTGGTGTGTGTGTGAGTGCGGTGTGTGTGTGATTGTGGTGTGTGTGTGAGTGCGGTGTGTGAGTGTGGTGTGTGTGAGTGCGGTGTGTGTGTGAGTGCGGTGTGTGTGAGTGCGGTGTGTGTGTGAGTGCGGTGTGTGAGTGTGGTGTGTGTGAGTGCGGTGTGTGTGTGAGTGCGGTGTGTGTGTGAGTGCGGTGTGTGTGTGTGGTGTGTGTGTGAGCGAACGACTCGCAATGGGAAGGTTGCAAGTTGTATTCCTCTTTGGGGGTTGATGGTCCATAATCTCTCTGGGCACGATAAAATGAGTATCGGACTGTAAAGAAGTAAACAGTGGTTGTCCTATGGATAGACTCACCCCCGTCATAGTAATGTAGAATTTCCACCACTGGCTCAGGGCTGTAGTGGTGGCGCAGTAGTTAGCGTGTTGTGCTACGAACCTGGCGACCCGAGTTCGATTCTCGGTTGCAACCACTAATTGTCCCGGGCCTCCCCTAGGTCGACACAGCTTTAAATGAGTAGCTGGTGCGGTGCGTAAACATCAGCATTGCCCCAACAGTCTGTTAAACGCTATACGGGGGCTCTTTGTTTTTGCAGGTGTGTGTGCGGCTGGATCAGCCCCTCGCGGCGCTGGAGGTGTTCCGCCAGGGCCTGGAGCGTTTCCCTGGGGAAGTGACTCTGCTCACCAGTATCGCACGCATTCATGAGGTTTGTATAAGAGCAATACAACGCTCACCTCTGCCACGAGGTCCTCGCTCGCACTGCACCCACTTCCTACCTCGGTGCACCTGATGCAATTCAGAGTAAAGCAGCAGTCAGGGTGATTGATGGTCCAGCACTTACAGATTCACTCCAGTCGCTCGCTCACTCACCCTTTAACTCACCTGCTCACCGATTCACTCCTTCACTCCAGTCACTCGCTCACTCACCCTTTAACTCACCCACTCACCCATTTGCGTACCAGCGGTCAGTCATCTCTTTATCACTCATACTGTATATTGATATTACCATGGTTGCTGTTCCCGTGATCGGTTCCTCATTGATTCCTGTAACCCTGTCGAGGACTCGGTCTACCAGACACTGACTGTTTTGTCTCATCTACACTGTATTCAACCAGTACACTGCAGGTCACAACAACTCATTCACCCACTCACCCACTGACAACACTGCAGCTCACAACAACACACTCACCTACTCACCCACAGACAACACTGCAGGTCACAACAACACACTCACCTACTCACCCACTCACCCACAGACAACACTGCTGGTCAAAACAACACCTACTCACCTACTCACCCACTGACAACACTGCAGGTCACAACAACTCATTCACCCACTCACCCACTGACAACACTGCAGGTCACAATAACACACTCACCTACTCACCCACAGACAACACTGCAGGTCACAACAGTTATTTTTCTGATTATTTCCTCACAATGCTGCACTTAAAATTTCCCCCCATTGTATATTTTCCCAATTTATTACCTTGCTCTATTTTAAAAGTGTGTTAACGCTCGTCTATTACAACTTTGACGGTGCTGTTTGTTGCTGGCCACTTGATGTGTTTGGGCCTGTCTTTAGTAACTGTGGAAAAAAAAGTCAAAACAAAATAGTGATGATAACAATAACAATAATAATGCAGGCTTATAACCATAACCACGACGCACGCTCCGTCCGCGTGTCGTTCGTGCAGGGCATGAACAACCTGTCGCTCGCCACGGAGAGCTACAAGGAAGTGCTCAAGCAGGACAACACACACGTGGAGGCCATCGCCTGCATGGGCAGCAGCCACTTCTACTCGGACCAGCCCGAGATCGCGCTGCGCTTCTACCGGTGAGTGTTGCTCCACCGCAGCCTCACAGCACCGTGGAGAAATAACGGGATTCGGGAGAACCACGGTGATGGGGAAGGTGGCGCATCAGCATGCCGCAGCAACGGTGTAGGACCCAGGAACCTGGCCCGCCGGAACCTCGTGGAATTGACTCGCAGACCAGCGGAGGTAGCTGGAGGTAGGCTCTTGGCCTCCGCCGGGCGGCGGCCGCTGCGCTCGCACTGTACGGCGACCCGCCGGGGCTCACTGCTGGCGGCGCGTGCGCCCCCCCGGTCGCGCGTGCCCACTGGTTGCAGGCGCCTGCTGCAGATGGGCGTGTACAACATGCAGCTGTTCAACAACCTGGGGCTGTGCTGCTTCTACGCCCAGCAGTACGACATGGCGCTGGGCAGCTTCGAGCGAGCGCTGGCTCTGGCGCAGGACCCCGAGGAGGGGGCCGAGGTGTGGTACAACCTGGGCCACGTCGCCGTGGTGAGTGGCGAGCCCGGCGACGGGCACTCGGGAGCGCGACGCACACGACGCACGATACGTCCACTGTCCACTTGCGCCAGCAAAGCAGGTTTAGGCTGGTGTTGTTTGTGTAGCGAGTTCAACTGAGTAGCAGACGTAGACTTGGAAGCAACACATTTATTCAACTCAAACACACGGGGTAACTTTCCCCTTTACAGAATAACAACCTATGGTGTTGACCACCAGGCTAGCTACACTAATTACAACGTAACTAGCTACTACGGACCGGGACCACAGCTCGGGTCCAGGTCCACGTGTTGGAGACTCGTCGAACGGAGAACGTTGACGAAGGTTTATTCAGTATGAGCAACAACAACCTTGGTCCCTCTCGGGACCGGCTTATATTCCCTATGGCGTGGCTGGCTCCACACTTGGCCATGACCACCTTCCAGAATCCTCGGGAAGGATCTGGATCCCGACCAAGTGACCCTCTTAGCCCCCCCTTGGGTCCCCTTTGTAGACTTAACCGGTCACGTGTCCTCCCGGGTCAACCAGATTGCCATGGCCTTTAGTAACCTCATCCTACGGCCGGCACCCACACACCCTGTCCTGTAGGGTTGGCGTGGTGCCATCTAGCGCTATCAATCAGCGCTCACCGGGCCCCTGTAGGGCTGCTACTACACCCACACCCTTGTGGTATCCGCGATGTTGTTACACCGCACGCCGTGCCTCTCTAGGGCTGGCACTGCACAGTGACATCCCGCGATGTCACTACATTTGTAACCAGCTGAGAAGTCGCGAGATGCCAGTAGAGATTTGGCATTCGCAAGAGTGACCTGGGTTATCCGATTAGCACAGTTGGCTATGTACGGTGCGAAAGAAGTTCAACATACATCCGTAAAAAAGTGCGAATAGAAAGCAGTGTAAAAACAACCGCCTTACAGAAGACATCGAAAACGGTGCACAAACGTAAAACACGCACAATATTACTTTTGAAAAACGATTAATAGTAAACGTCTGGTCATAGTAAGTTTGAGGAACACCAGAATGGATTCAGAGTAGTAATTTAAATGGAATCTTGTTTACAATCCAACCCTAATTTACATTCAAGCTGTTTGCCATTATATAATACCTCGTGCACACCGCCAAATTGTGTTGTTGGGTATGTACATGATGTATGCGTTGGTCTTGTGCGGATTTTTCTTGTACGAGTGTGTACCATGCGTGTCGTGTATTGTGCTCGGCATTGGGGATTTGATGCTGTGTGTGTGGCAGTGTACTGGTTAACGCGCTTCGCTATGAACCTGGCGACCCGAGTTCGATTCCCGCTCACGGCCAACTTCGGTGACGATTATCTGAACCAGTCCTGGGCCTCCCATAAGTCGACACCGCCTCAAGTGAGTCCCCGGTGCGATGTGTAAACATCACCACTGTAGAGGTCAAAGGCAGCTGGGCGTTGTGCTGGCCACCCACCCCCTCGTGTGCCATGCAAGCCTTCATATGTGCTCGCTAACAGCACTTGCCCCAAACGTCTTTTTAGGCTATACGGGGGATCTTTGTCTTTTCGTGCAGGGGATAGGGGATGTGACGCTGGCTTACCAGTGCTTCAAGCTGGCCTTGGCGAATAACAACGACCACGCAGAGGCCTACAACAACCTGGGGGTGTTGGAGCACCGCAGGGGACATCTGGACCAGGTGAGCGAGGGTGGCCAGATTGCGCCCTGACCCCCGGCACGACCCGTGGTCAGAGCGGGCTGAGTGGGGAGGTTGTGAGCCGAGCGTGCTCTCGCTGTGTTGCGCGTGCGTGCAGGCTAAGGCGCTGTTCCAGACGGCCTCGTCGCTGGCGCCACACATGTACGAGCCGCACTTCAACTACGCCAGCCTCTCGAACCAGGTCTCGCTTCCCACGTCGCCCACACTCGCCCACATCCGCCCAGCGGCATCCTCCCCCGCTGCTGTTCGTTTCGATTCTAGCGGTCACCTGAGCACAGGCTCGGAGGCCCCAAAATGCCAAGCGGTCAACGTCACACAGCGCCGTGATAAGAACATTAGAGTTAAAACATGGAAGCGTTTACGTGTCTCTTCATCTGAGCAAGGTTAAATTTTGATTTAAAGCTTTCGTGACTGCAGGGACTCATATTCTTGGTTCTTTTGGTAAAGTCACGTAGAAGGGAAACAATAAAATAATTTTAAAAAATTCAAATTTTCTTGTTGTGGTTTTCACACCTGATGATGATCGCTTGTGTTGCAGTCGAAACGTCGTGAGAATTTTATTGTTTTATATTTTTATTATTTTGTTTCCCTTCTACGTGACTTTACCGAAAGAACCAAGAATCTGAGCAAGATTATTATGAGAGCTTGGGAAAAAGGGACGATGGGAGGGAATTCCAGAGTGCAGCAGTGCGTGGTAATAAGCAGCAAAGGAAGCGTAGCGTGCTGCTGGTGTGCAGTGGCGCGGTGTTTATGCTGTGAGCAGACACTGAAACCTGACGCCAGTCTCAACTCATTTACATTTCTAATTAAAACTCGCACAACATCTGCCGCTGTTACAGTCGGAGTGCATTCTGCACGAACCCGGGGGTGTGCACCATCGAATGGTTCTCGCGTGTGCGGTGTACACTGTAGAAATGGAAACTGATTTAATGTACGTGTGTGTGTGTGTATATACGTGGAATCGTTACACGTTCGCTCTGTACGTGTCGGTTCATACACCGGGACCCCCCCCACCTTCCATCTCTCGCGATTATCCAGGTGAAATATTTCATAAATAAAAATGTGCGGATGTGTCTCGCCGTGCCCCCGCGGTGTGTTTGCGCGGCAGCTGGGCGACCTGCAGAGCAGCTACCTGTCGGCCCAGCGGGCGCTCAGCGCGTTCCCGCAGCATGTGGACTCGCACCAGCTCATCCAGCAGCTGAAGCAGCACTTCGCCATGCTGTGAGAGCGCCACCCCCCCCGCCCCACTCGCCGCGGCCACGGCAGCGATGGGAGTGGCGGCAGCAGCGGCGGCGGCGGCGGCGGCGGCGTGTGGAGCCGCCCCGGAGCTTCCGCGCGAGCGTCCACGTAGAACTGTCGTGTGTCTCGTTGTAACGCGAGCGTCGCGGTAGTGACGGCGATCGTACTTTAGAGCGGCGTTCTCGCCGTCGCGCTTGTAACGCGCGTAGAGCTCGCGCGGAGGCACGTGGGAAACCACGGGCAAGCCTGAGAAGGCAGCTCTGTGGTCCTTTATTGGTATACTTGAGCAACTCCGTGATGACCGAGTTGGTGGGTTCGTTGGAGGCGTTGTGAGTGAATGTTGAGGTCCTGCGCAGAGGTGCGCAGTGACCTGGAGGGTCCATTAGGTGGCAGCAGCAGCCCAGTTTTGTCCCGAAGCTGACCTTTGGCCCCGGGGCCTCTGCACCTGTTGAACCAGGTGAGAACTCGAGACCAGGACGAGCCTCATTTGCAGGCGTCACCTGGGTCACTAAAATGACATGCAATTGCTTAACAAGTATAACAATGAAGCAAATAGAAATCAGAGCAAAAACAACTGCATTGCAGAATTGAAAACGGTGCAGAAACATGGATCAGTGGTAAATACGTTTCCCGTCACGCAACTTTGCTCTGACAAATGACTTTTTTGAAAATCATTTAATTGTACAATTAACCAGCAAAACAGATGGACATGGGTTTAGGGCAATTACCGCACGCGTGCGGACAGACGCGTGCAGGGACTCGTGTTCATGTTGAGTCACGTGGGAGCCACAGGCTCGCGATCAGCTGCAGCTTGCTTCCCGAGTGCACGTTGCCCAGGGACTGGGTCGCTCACCATCGTGGGTGACTTGCTGCTCACCCGGTGAGGGTGCGAGCTATGAATCGACTCGTGATGGATCCTCAAGCTTCGCGATATGTGCACGGTACTGCGTGTGTAAGCAAATAGTTTTCAAGGATGCTAATTACATGCAAGTGATCTGCTGGTGCTGCGGTGTGGCACGGGACCAAAACGGTGCCACAACTGAGCCACAAACACGAGACGGCAACAACAACAATCGCTGATTTCATTCTGGCCTGGACGGTCACGAAGCCGCTGGTGGCGCGGGGTGACTCATCAGCACAACCAATTAGCCCTGCATCAATTAAGCGTGAATTGCATATGTTCACGCCGTCCCATGGTCTGCTTGTCACGGCATGGCGTTCGGGGGCCTGGAGGAGCTGATGGTGATGATGAGTGTGGGAGCCTCGTAATTACCAGGTGCTGGGCCCCAGCTGTGACCTCCGGTGGTTTCTGCTGCTGCTGCACAGGCGTTGAATCCCAGCACGGAGCAGTGGGGTCGTGTTTACAGCAGTTGGCGGTGCACGCTGTAACCCGCACCTCTGATTAGCACCGTTGGCTACGTACGGTGCGAAAGGAGTTTAACTCACATATATGGCGAATAAGTAAATGTTCACCCCTCTCTCAATCCACTGCTGGATGAAGGGCTTCCCATGCCATGTCAGTAGTGGGACTTGTTTGACCATACTTCACCACTCTGGTCAGTGCGGCTTGGCGAAACTGGAGGCCCAGCAACTGGTGCAGATATCGCGAACGATTTTAGCCGTGGTCGGGAATCGAATTCGGGTCCGCAGCGTTCATAGCGCAGTGCTTGGCACTGCGCTTTCCCATGTGACCAGCAGCGTTGGGGAACCTCCATGCAGCAGTGGATGGCCAAGGTCATTGGAGGTCAGTGGTGTAGGATGCACATGATGTGATCGGTACCGTTTCAAATAAACCTTCTGAGATTCGATCATCGATCGACACGCAACCACGGCGAGTGGTGCGCGTAATCGTGGATTTTTCTCGACGTGCGTCTCGCGATTGGGTTTCGCGTAAACCCTTGGGGAGGCCACTAGAGGCGCTGCGCCCGCCGGCAAAAGGAAAGGGGCATTGAGTTTTTCAAATCGCGATACGAATCGTGTCTCCCAACCCCCGCAGCCAATATTAGACGACCCCCCCCGCCGCCCCGTGTATTGGGCTCGACGCGAGCATCCACACTGCCATCGCCTGGCACCCAGTCGGCTGGGTTAACCCCGGCTCCATGCTCGGCGAGAGCCACCACCACCAACCACCACTAATTACCACTCGGCACGAGAGCACCACGAGGATGATTTCACCCCCGGTGCGCCTCGTGGTGACGAGAAGCCCGAGAACCCCAGGAGGAGTCCGTCACTCGAGTCAGGAGGGCGGTTAAACACGCGCTCCTTGCCTGAACGCTCCTACTCGGGGCATTTAACGAGTGCACGAGGCTCCACCCTGCGGCTCCACCAGGAGGAGGCTTTACCAGGAGGCAGCTCCACCAGGAGGAGGAGGAGGCTCCACCGCCAGGAGGAGGCGGCTCCACCAACAGGAGGCGGCTCCATCGCCAGGAGGAGGCGGAGTCTCTTCAGCATCAGGACCGCGCCCGGCGCCTCCTTCGCGCCGCACTTGAATCGCACCGGCGGCGGCTGCGGCGCCGGCAGGTGACACCTGCGTGGGTCGGTACCCCTTGCTCTGCTGCAGCCACCTCGACCTCCTCCTCCACCACCTCCTGGCACCTCCTGGCACCTCGTCGTCGCCCACCACCACCACCAGCCTCCCCCCGTGAGGTCGCCGTGCGGTTCGGGCGGTGACGGCGGCGCACAGGTAGGGACCCGACCCGGAGGCGCAGCCACGGTGAGAGTGACACAGTGGTCAGTGAGTGACGTCACGGTGAGAGTGACACAGTGGTCAGTGAGTGACGTCACGGTGAGAGTGACACAGTGGTCAGTGAGTGACGTCACGATGAGAGTGACACAGTGGTCAGTGAGTGACGTTACGGTGAGAGTGACACAGTGGTCAGTGAGTGACGTCACGGTGAGAGTGACACAGTGGTCAGTGAGTGACGTTACGGTGAGAGTGACACAGTGGTCAGTGAGTGATGTCACGGTGAGAGTGACACAGTGGTCAGTGAGTGACGTCACGGTGAGAGTGACACAGTGGTCAGTGAGTGACGTCACGGTGAGAGTGACACAGTGGTCAGTGAGTGACACCACGGTGAGAGTGACACAGTGGTCAGTGAGTGACGTTACGGTGAGAGTGACACAGTGGTCAGTGAGTGACGTCACGGTGAGAGTGACACAGTGGTCAGTGAGTGACGTTACGGTGAGAGTGACACAGTGGTCAGTGAGTGATGTCACGGTGAGAGTGACACAGTGGTCAGTGAGTGACGTTACGGTGAGAGTGACACAGTGGTCAGTGAGTGATACCACGGTGAGAGTGACACACTGGTCAGTGAGTGACGTCACGGTGAGAGTGACACAGTGGTCAGTGAGTGACGTCAGGGTGAGAGTGACACAGTGGTCAGTGAGTGACGTCACGGTGAGAGTGACACAGTGGTCAGTGAGTGACGTCAGGGTGAGAGTGACACAGTGGTCAGTGAGTGACGTCACGGTGAGAGTGACACACTGGTCAGTGAGTGACGTCACGATGAGAGTGACACAGTGGTCAGTGAGTGACACTACGGTGAGAGTGACACAGTGGTCAGTGAGTGACGTCACGATGAGAGTGACACAGTGGTCAGTGAGTGACGTCACGGTGAGAGTGACACAGTGGTCAGTGAGTGACGTCACAGTGAGAGTGACACAGTGGTCAGTGAGTGACGTCAGGGTGAGAGTGACACAGTGATCAGTGAGTGACACCACGGTGAGAGTGACACATTGGTCAGTGAGTGACGTCACGGTGAGTGACACAGTGGTCAGTGAGTGACGTCAGGGTGAGAGTGACACAGTGGTCAGTGAGTGACACCACGGTGAGAGTGACACAGTGGTCAGTGAGTGACGTCAGGGTGAGAGTGACACAGTGGTCAGTGAGTGACGTCACGGTGAGAGTGACACAGTGGTCAGTGAGTGACGTCACGGTGAGTGACACAGTGGTCAGCGAGTGACGTCACGGTGAGAGTGGCACAGTGGTCAGTGAGTGACGTCACGGTGAGAGTGACACAGTGGTCAGTGAGTGACGTCACGGTGAGAGTGACACAGTGGTCAGTGAGTGACGTCACGGCGAGAGTGACACAGTGGTCAGTGAGTGACACTCGGTGAGAGTGACACAGTGGTCAGTGAGTGACACCACGGTGAGAGTGACACAGTGGTCAGTGAGTGACGTCACGGTGAGAGTGACACTGTGGTGAGTAACACTGTGGTGAGTGAGTAACACTTTGGTGAGTGACACTGTGGTGAGTAACACCGTGGTGAGTAACACTTTGGTGAGTGACACTGTGGTGAGTGATACCGTGGTGAGTGACACCGTGGTGAGTGATACCGTGGTGAGTGAGTGACACCGTGGTGAGTGAGTGACACCGTGGTGAGTGAGTGAGTGACACCGTGGTGAGTGAGTGACACCGTGGTGAGTGAGTGACACCGTAGTGAGTGATACCGTGGTGAGTGAGTGACACCGTGGTGAGTGAGTGACACTGTGGTGAGTGAGTGACACCGTGGTGAGTGACACCGTGGTGAGTGAGTGACACTGTGGTGAGTGACACCGTGGTGAGTGACACCGTGGTGAGTGAGTGACACTGTGGTGAGTGAGTGACACCGTGGTGAGTGACACCGTGGTGAGTGACACCGTGGTGAGTGAGTGACACTGTGGTGAGTGACACCGTGGTGAGTGAGTGACACTGTGGTGAGTGACACCGTGGTGAGTGACACTGTAGTGAGTGATACCGTGGTGAGTGAGTGACACTGTGGTGAGTAACACTGTGGTGAGTGAGTGACACCGTGGTGAGTGACACCGTGGTGAGTGAGTGACACCGTGGTGAGTGACACCGTGGTGAGTGAGTGACACCGTGGTGAGTGAGTGACATCGTGGTGAGTGAGTGACACCGTGGTGAGTGACACTGTGGTGAGTGACACCGTGGTGAGTGAGTGACACCGTGGTGAGTGATACTGTGGTGAGTGACACCGTGGTGAGTGAGTGACACCGTGGTGAGTGATACTGTGGTGAGTGACACCGTGGTGAGTGAGTGACACCGTGGTGAGTGACACCGTGGTGAGTGAGTGACACTGTGGTGAGTGACACTGTGGTGAGTGAGTGACACTGTGGTGAGTGACACCGTGGTGAGTGAGTGACACCGTGGTGAGTGACACCGTGGTGAGTGAGTGACATCGTGGTGAGTGAGTGACACCGTGGTGAGTGAGTGAGTAACACTGTGGTGAGTGACACCGTGGTGAGTGAGTGACACCGTGGTGAGTGATACTGTGGTGAGTGACACCGTGGTGAGTGACACCGTGGTGAGTGAGTGACACCGTGGTGAGTGAGTGACACCGTGGTGAGTGACACCGTGGTGAGTGAGTGACACTGTAGTGAGTGACACCGTGGTGAGTGACACCGTGGTGAGTGATACCGTGGTGAGTGACACTGTGGTGAGTGAGTGACACCGTGGTGAGTAACACCGTGGTGAGTGACACTGTGGTGAGTGAGTGACACCGTGGTGAGTGAGTGACACCGTGGTGAGTGACACCGTGGTGAGTGACACCGTGGTGAGTGAGTGACACCGTGGTGAGTGACACCGTGGTGAGTGAGTGACACTGTAGTGAGTGAGTGACACCGTGGTGAGTGATACTGTGGTGAGTGACACCGTGGTGAGTGAGTGACACCGTGGTGAGTGACACCGTGGTGAGTGAGTGACACTGTGGTGAGTGACACTGTGGTGAGTGAGTGACACCGTGGTGAGTGACACCGTGGTGAGTGACACCGTGGTGAGTGAGTGACACCGTGGTGAGTGACACCGTGGTGAGTGAGTGACACCGTGGTGAGTGAGTGACACCGTGGTGAGTGAGTGACACCGTGGTGAGTGACACCGTGGTGACATCGTGGTGAGTGAGTGACACCGTAGTCACTCACGATCCGCACGTGCTTGTGTTTACGTGAGCGGTGTGCAAGTGTGGATATTGACGTGTGTGTGTACGTCTATGTGTTGAGACTTGGATGTGTGTACTACGCAATGTGTGCACGAGTGTGTACACGTGTGTGTACATGAGATTGTGTGAACACGAGTGTACATGTTAATGAGTGTGTACACGTGAGTGTGTGTACATGTGGGGAGCGGTGGTGCAGCGGTTAGCGCGCTGCGCTACGAACACGATGACCTGAGTTCGAATTTCCGCTCACGGCCAACACCAGCGACGATGATCTTAACCGGTCCTGGGCGCCCCCCCCACCCCCCCCAGGTCGACTCAACCTCAAATGAGGACCTGGCGCCGTGTGTAAACATCGTCACTGGGGAGACAAAGGCGGACGGGTGTGGTGCTGGCCACCCACCCCCTCGTGCGCCGTGCCAGTCTTCATAGGTGCTCGCTAACAGCACTTGCCCCGACAGTCTGGTAAGCCTCTACAGCGGATATTTGTATTTGTTTGTGTGTACATGTGCGTGTGTATGAGATGTGTCTGTGCACACGTACGTGTACAAGTTAATGTGCATGAAGGATGTGTATGTGCAAGTGCGTCTATGTGTGCTGTTCCCCGCTTGGGGTGCGGTGGTGTTGTGTGTGTACACGTGGCACATGTTACACACGCGTGGCACGTGTTACACACGCGTGGCACGTGTTACACACGCGTGGCACGTGTTACACACGCGTGGCACGTGTTACACACGCGTGGCACGTGTTACACACGCGTGGCACGTGTTACACACGCGTGGCACGTGTACACACGCGTGGCACGTGAGGCTGGGGGATGGGGATTGAGTAATGGGACTCATAGCTCGCGACTTTGATTGGCACGGGGCCTGGGCGGTGGAATGGTCTGTGTCAT